TAAAATAAGGGTGGACAATATCCCTGTTTCTCCTGTCTACTCCCACAGTTAGTTGAGAATGATCACCTAAGTACAGGGATGTTTTTAATATTGGAATAGTTAAAAGCTCTGAGTGGCATTATAAATGTACAACATAATCTGGAAGGCTTGCTGTGCTCACCACTATACCACCAATGCATCAGTTTGTGTAGATCATAAAAATTCTGATATTCTAATCTCCTCAGAATTGACATTTGGATCACTCAAGTACCTACTACTATGACAAAGTTCTTGTTGAAAATACTTGGGAGTTCTTGTATGGTAATTAGCTTGGTAACCTAAGCCATGCTCTCTGTGGTTTGGTTATGCCGGCAATTATGATTACACAGTATTCCTACCCCTTCTTCTCCTCACCCCCAAACCCTCCCCCTAAACCTACACAAGTTTTCTGTGCATGTGTTAGTTTCTGCTATCTGCACTAAAACTTCCAAAAACCAACTGTACCATAGTAATGGGGTTGCTACAGAAGCTGCCCCTTATCCTGTGAGGCTCAACCTGACTTAATTGCTGGGGATGGAAAGTGATGATTGCCATTGTGTGTCCTTGGCTATTGGTGCGGATGTCAGCTCACGCCAGTATCCACCTTCATGAAACAACAAGGCAGGGTTCCATCGGAGACTGTCGAAGGAATATTTCATAGTACTAAAAAGAAAATAATATTACTACACAGGCAAAAACTTACAAATGCCACAGCTGATTATACATGCTAGGTGAGTGTTTGGGTCTTATTGTAGTTCCTCAAAAATTTAATATTGAAAACTTTTACCTAAATACCTCAGAAATGATTGTATTTAAGAGAGGGCCTTTAAAGAGGTGATTGAAGTAGACAGGCTAGTGGTACATGCCTGTAATACCAACACTAGGGAGGCTGAGGCAGAAAGATCACAAGTTCTAGGCCAGATTGGGCTACCAACAAGACCCTATCTAAAATAAAATAATCAAGTTAAAAGGAGCCACTAACTAGGTCTTAATCCAATCTGACCTATGTCCTCATAAAAGGAAATCTGAGCTATGCATGGTGGCTGACACCCGTAATCCCTATTACTCAGAGAGTGGAGGCAGAAGGATACCAATTCAAAAACCAGCCCCAGACAAAGGTAGTGAGATCTTGTCTCAAAAAACAAAAACAGAGCAGGGCACCAGTGGCTCACGCCTATAATTCCTAGCTTACTTGGGAGGCTGAGATCAGGAGGATTGCAGTTCGAGGCCAACCCAGGCAAATTACTTTTCAAGGACCTCATCTCCAAAATAACCAAAGAAAAATGGACTGGAGTTATGGCTCAAGGAGTAGATTGCCTGCTTAGCAAGTGTGAGGACCTGAATTCAAACCCCAGTCCCGCCAAACAAACAAACAAACAAAAATAGAGCTGGCTGCACTGGCTCACACATGTAATCCTAGCTACTTGGAGGCAGAGACCAGGAGGATTTGTGATTAGAAGCCAGTCCGTACGAAAAGTTAAGAGAAGACCCCATCTCAATAAATCAAAGGTGGGCATAGTGACATGTGCCTGTCATCCAAGCTACACAGAAAATATAAAGAGGAGGATCTTGGTCCAGCCCAGCCTAGCCCAGGCATAAATGGGCCAGAGTATTCAAAAAATACCTAAAGCAAAAAGTACCAGGCGTATGGCTCAAGTGTAAAATGCCTACCTAGCAAGTTGAAAGGCCCTGAATTCAAACACCACTAATAGCCAAAATAAAATTTTAAAAAGGGGCTTGGGGTGCAGCTAAAGTGGTAGATTAGACCTTGGGCTCAATCCTCAGAATCCCACCCCCAAAAAAAGGAAATCCGGAAACACAGTGAGAACCGAGGATAAGCATGCACAGAGAAAAGACCATGTGGAGGCACAGCAAAAAGATTGCCATCTGCCTCAGAAAACACCAAACCTGCTAAGACCCTGATCTTAAACTTCCAGCCTTCAGACAGTGAGGAAATAAATTTCTATTGTTTAAGCCACCCAGTCTGCAGTATTTAGCTCTGGCAGCCCTAGCAGAATAAAACAGTGATGTACAAAGCATGATTCCTGCCCTGTGATCTTATAGCAGATACTATCCATTGTGTTCTAAACTGTAAGCTCCATGAAGGCTTAGTGATGCATCCTCAGTCTGACACATAAAAATGTTCAATAAATATTTTTGGAAATGGTGTGAATGAATGAAAATGCAAGGTATTCAGATGCACAATCTCAAACTTATTTTAGATATAATAAAAAAATACAACTTTGCAAGTGTGAAAGCCCTGAGTTCAAACCCAGTTCCACAAAAAAAAAAAAAAATACAGTAAGTTTCCATTTCTGTGAATTCTTCCTGACTGCAATTCCTTACATCTTACTAGGCTGCTATGATTCATTCTTACTTTCTAACTTCCTGATGTAAGCTATCAATTCTGTATCACATAACCAGGTGCCAACTACCCTATTACCTTAGTCAGATCCCCCATTTCTTCTGGTGAATACACAGTCAAATGCAGTCCTAATTAAGTTGTTGTATCTCAAAAATCCTTAAAACCAAACAAAAGACACATGCTACAACAAACAGGACACAGCCTGATTTACTTGGTTCTTTTTGTTTTCATAATGCATGCAATCTGGGTCCAGTTAGGATTTGTTTGGGGCTGGTTTGTTATTTTGGTGGGGGGAATACTGAGAAAAGAACCAGGGCCTTGTGGATGGTAGGCAGAGTGCTCTACCCTGAGCTATACCTCAAGCCTTTAAGGCTACTGCATTTTCAGACAAACTTCAGAATATGCAGGAAGGGAAAGTTATACCAAAAAATAGTGCTACCTGATTCCAGTTAAAGCTGTATATGATCACTTGCTATAATGTCATATAAATGCAATAGAATATGTTTGACCACACTAAACATGCTGGGTTTTTTTTAAATTCTAAGGTTAGTGATTTAAATAAAGATTGATTCAAACTAACTTTACTGGCTGTTAGAAAGGAATGCTTTTTAGAAGCAAGATTCAAATATCACAGAAGTCCTGGAAGGATGATAACTAAAACACTGAGCCTTGGACTTGGAAGATAATAGCTAAGAAAATAAGAAACCACAGCCTCTTTCACTGTATGACAAAGGCCTTGATTTCTTTTCATTGTAAAATGGAGCAGACTCCATCCTTAGGGCCCTTCTGATTAAAACAGAATATTCCTCTTAAAAATTTTTACAAAAATAAAGTAAAATAGAGGAATAAGAAAAGGCATAAGGCTTATTCAAGCTCATTATTCTGTGAGTATTATCATTCTCATGTCTCATCACTAGATTATTCTATAATACACAAGCATGCTTTTACTCTCTCACTTTAAGAAAAAAAAGGAACCTTCTTAAACCCAGGGTACCCACTAGGAACTGCTGTTTCTCTGTTCCTCACATGAACTGGATTATTTTACTTTCTGCAATTTTTTTCCTTCTATTCACCCACTTGAATCAGGTCCCACTACTCCATCAAAACAGCTTGCATAGCCAGGCACTGGTGCTCACACCTGTAATCCTAGCTACTTGAGAGGCTATCAGAAGGATCAAGGTTTAAGGGCAGCTCAGGCAAATAATTCGTGAGACCGCCCCCCTATCTCCAAAATAACCAGAAAAAATTGAACTGGGGGTGTGGCTCAAGCCTGCTTGCAAGCATGAAGCCTTGCATTCAAACTCCAGTATCACCAAAAAAGAAGGAAAAAAAGCTCCCATTAAGATCAACAACTATTTCCTTGTCACGAAGTCCAATGGTCAATTTTTAGCCATCGCCTTGTTTATTAGCAATATTGGGCATAGGTGATGAGTCACTCCTGACTTTCTTCACTTAGCTTCCTTCCAGGATACCATACTCTCCTGCTTCTGGTGACCCACTGGCTGCTCCTTCTCAGTCCCCTTTACTGACTTGTCCTCTTTTCCCTGACTTCTTAAAATGGAAATGTCCAGTGGTCAGTCCCTGCTCCTGTTCTTTTTTCTATCTATACTCACCCCCTTGGTGGTCTTTTCCCAGTATTATAATTTTAAATAACATCTACACGCTAACATCTGAATTTCTCACTCTGGAACCCCAGATTAATACAGTCATGTGCCACATAATGATGTTTTGGTTGATAGTGGTTTTATAAGATTATAATGAAGTCAGGCACCTGTGGCTCATGCCTACAATCTTAGCTACTTGGGAGGTTGAGGTCAGGAGGATCATGGTTCGAGGCCAGCCTGAGCAAATAGTTTGAGAAAACCCCATCTCCAAAATAACTAGAGCAAAATGGACTGTAGGTGTGGCTCAAGTGATAGAGTGCCTGCTTTGCAAGTGTGAAGCCTTAAGTTCAAATCCCAGTCCCAAAAAAGGAAAAAGAGTATAATGAAGCTGAAGATCCCTATCTCTTACTGATGTCATAGTCATCTCCTCTGTATTGTCATAGCACAGTGCATTATTCATGTGCTTGTGGTGATGCTGGTATAAACAAACCAACTGTGTGCTGCTGGTCATATGGAAGTATGTCACATGCAATTATGTACAATACATAATATTCAATAATAAACAACTGCTACTGATTTATGTATTTACTATACCATACTTTTTATTGTTATACTCCTTCTATATAAATATAAATACACACACACACACACACACACACATATATAAAGCAAGTTTACTATAAAACATTATGCTGAACTACACTGGCAGCAGCCTCACAGATCTCATGCTTACTGGATCTCCTGATGGTATCATTTTCCCTTGTACTTGAGTTAATCTTGTGTTATTTTGTTCTTCCTGGCCCTACGAGCAGTAGACTATACCATGCATCTATACTATACCATGTATGAGTATAGTATATACTATATTTGTATGAGTACACGTTATGATGTTTGGACAATGAAATCACTTAATAACTCATTTCTCAGAACCTAACCCTGTCATTAAATGATGCATAACTGTATATCCAACTGCCAACTTAACATATCCACTCAGATGTCTAACAGGCATCTCAAAAGCAATGTGTCCAAAACTGAACTAATAAATCTGCTGTGCCAGTCTTTCCTATCTCAGTTGATAGTAATTATGATTCCACTTGATCCACCCAAGCACGTAGAATCATTTTTTCTCTCCTCCCTCTCCCTCCCTCCACATTCTGGTAGTACTGGGGGTTGAACTGAGGGCCTCACGCATGCTAGACAGGCGCTCTACCACTTCAGCCACCCCAGCCCTTTCTGTGTTGGTTATTTTTTAGATAGGGTCTTGCTTTATGCTCAGGCTGGCCTGGACCATGATCCTGCTATTTGTGCTTCCCTATGTAGCTGAGGATGACAGGCATATGCCACTGTGCCCAGCCATGGTTGAGATGGAGTCTCATGAACTTTTTGCCTAGGCTGGCCTCAAACCATAATCCTCCTGATCTCTGCCTCCTGAGTAGCTAGGATTACAGGCTTAAGCCACCACACCGGGCCATCCTTTCTTTCTCTTATACCCCTCATTCGACCGATTAGGAAATCCTGTTGTTCAATCTTTAATTTCTATCCACCTTCACTGCTACCATTGATCTGTATCATCTCTCACCCAGATTCTACAACAGCCTCCTAATCAGTCTCCCTGCTTCCACCTTCCTCCAGTATTCCACTTTCAGCATCACAACCTAAGTGATCTTGTTAAATACCTAATCATGTCATGACAT